CATTTTTCATTTGAGCAACGTTATCAGTCACAATATCAGTTTTACTTGCACCCCGCACAATTCCTGCTTGTGAAAAATTGCCCGCCGTTATATTTTCGGTTGGAGTGTAACGGGTTAGTCCACTTGCCATTATTTATGGTACGCGATTTGATGCAAACGACACAACGTAGCGGCGATAAAAATTAAAGCTATATTAAACGGGGACTGCTTTGTCGCAAATGTTTGAAAAAGCGAAGGGTGTTTTTGCATACACTGGAGAGGGTCATTTTAATTGCCAGGAGTTACTTAGGGACAAACCGGAAGCTTGTCCAACACGTCCCAGATAGTCATATGGTGGTTTCATCTGGCACGCCCGAAAACAATTCTGAAAAGTAAACAGCAGCAATGGCAGGAAACCTGACATCGGAATTCTACTCGGTAGTAATCTGATCAGATTATTATCTAAAAGCAAATATTTAGTTGAAAATAATATAATAAATTCCGCCATTATATTATTGTAACCATATTTATCCAATAAAATCATTTAGTAGTAATTTGATTGATTTGATATTCATAGATTTTTTTGAGCCTACTAAATTACCTCTCTAGAATTTCGTGGTAATAAAATGGAACATAAAATTGCTATTTGAAACGATTAAAGACCTTTCCTAAGAACTTTTAGAATCAAAATTAAAATAGATAAGTCTCAAAGTTTAAATTTCAGTTGGACATTTCCAGTGGCGATCAAAAAATTTGGTTTTTCTCCAATACTTTTCCTTTTTCAATGTTGTTGTTAGATATATAATCCTGTTAACAAACCTTGGCTGAGTACTCAAAGAAACAAGAAATGAACTGAAATAAATCAAAATTATCGCAGAACTGTCCAATGTTGAGGTATGGTTCGAACGCTCTTAGAATATGACCGCTACGTCATCGTGGGCGGGTCCGCTCATCACGCGGTCGTCGACAGAGCGCAGTGGCGTTCTATTTTATTTGAAGAATAAAATAAAGTGAATAGGTTGTGTAGACATTGATCATTAATTGATCTTTGTATTATTATATTCATTTAGTATGCGCATTAAGTTGTTCGGAAGCAAATTTGAATTAGAAGAGGGAGCAAACTAAAGACGGTTATAATTCAAATTATATATTATCATTAAAAAATCTAATCGCTATCAGATGATAGTGTGTTTAGCTTCAAATCTTCATCTGAGTCGCTTTCGTCACTATCTTCTGATGATGACCCTGTGTTCACATTGAATTGATACGTATCCATTTGATCGTCGAGAAGATGTTCTTTTTCCATTTGTGCTTGCTCATATTTTTTCACGTGGATACAAATTTCATCCACTCATCTGCTCCAATTTCTTCAAACATGCTACGGGTCAGATGCTCCACATCAGACAACCTAAATGTCGCATTTCGTGGAGCAACCCAGTTTTTTACGAGAGCCCAAATCTTCTCGATTGGGTTTAGCTCCGGATGATATGGAGGCAGTCGTAAAACTGTATGCCCGTGCTGTTCCATTAACGCATCTAGCTTGTATTTGACTGGAAATCTTCTTTTATTTTCCTGTATTTTTTTATATAGTTCGGCCTTAGTCAATGAGTTTTCACTAGGAATTTGATGTTTTTCTAGCCAGTCAATCATCTTTGATTTCAGGCTAGAAGACGTTACATTTTTTTCTTCCAGGACATTGTGATAAGAAGAATATCAACAAGGCGTTAGGAATAAAGCCGAATTCTCCACCAGCATGCACAATAATCATTCGTTGTCCTTTTGATAAAGGCGTTTTTAGTTCCTTGTCATAATTGTCATCTGACCATCCTTTTTTTGGGGTATGACTAGAATGTATATATGTTTCATCCGTATAAATTATGTTCCTGTTCTCAGCTCATATTTCATAATTTGCTTCAGATATTCGATACGCTTCAAGCGAATTTCATATTTTTCCATGAGAGCTCTTTTATTATCAGTAGTTCTTTTCCATCTGTAGATATAAATTATATTTATAGCGTTGTAAATCGAAAACCTTATAGTGTGTATGAATACTGACCTAAAGCCCATTTGTTTCAAAAGTTTGTTCAAAGTCGTTATTTTACCCTCAAAATTAAGGTGTCGATCTTGCATTTTTTGGTAAATACCTAAAAAATCTTAAAATGAAATATGACTAGATGCTACGGTTACAATTTAAAAACTTACATTTCAGTGAAGGTCTTCTTTTCTCCAAAATATAAAAATCGTATATGATTGCTTTCATTTCTTCAATTTGGCCTGCAGTCACTTTATCCACAACAGGTGATTTTCGTTGCCGCTTTTTAGATGGGGATGAAAATGAAAAGTTGCTTGAATATATTCCATCTCTGCTCTCTTTAGCTATTTTTTGATAAGTACATTTACTTATACCCGTGGCAGCTAACACACGTTTCCTAAATGGGTTAATCAGTTTTAATTGACAATAATTATAAAAATCTTTTACATTCATACATACCGGTATTGTTGAAGTGGAAACTTTAATCCCTCTACACTTTCCTGTACCATGAAGTTATTGACATTGTTGATAATTTCCTTTCCTTGACTCCCAATCGCCTTTCATTTCACGCCAATCTCTTTCACAGACATTGTTTGGATCACTGGTTCAAAACTATTAATAATTTAAATTTGAACAATAGTAAAAATTTCCACTATATTGCAATCTATTTGACAATTTTTACACACGGTGCCTTGTTCAAAGTACTTTACAAACTGAACTTATGACTAACGGACAGGTTTATATATCTGTTGCAGGTAAAATAAATGTGATTGATTAACACTCATCCTCTTAACGCTACTTACGAACGAAGGGATTTAGCAACCGGGAATTATTCCAGGTAGTTCAATTTTACACTTGTTATTATTAGATTTGTTTCTACTAATTTTGTTTACCCTCGCTTGATATTGGTATTAGCCTATTTATCTAGGTACTAATGATGCACTCTAGGAAATCTCATGATTGGTATAGATATAAGCGGATCACAGTCTTAGGATTAATTTAATTTCTTTCAGTTGTTTGCCAACTTTGGGGTTTTACCCTTCAATATTGTGTCTATTATATGTAGGTAGTTCACTATTTTAAATTTTGATTTATGGATCTCCATCAAATATCCACAAACCCCATAAGATTAATAATTTTCAACACAATCAAATATAAAATATGATATGGTTAATAAATAAAAAAATAAATAAGTCGAAGAAACGTCTCATCAGATCCCAATTGTGTCAACAATCTCAACTGACTGAAACTTGCGTATCTACATACTAAAAAACGTTCCGCCTATGGCTTTCTGAGAGTGGGATGTCCCTTAACAGCGTCAACAGCAACATAATTTCTGGACATTGAAGACCACATACATTTTTAAGCTTTCTACGATATAAATATTCGCCACGATTAGAACTGGACCACATTAAGAGGGCGGTAACAGATGTCCATAAATCTTACCAGAGACTGTCACAACAATTTTCTATATTCTTATAGGGTACAATCGACGCAAGGGAGAGGGTATAAAGTGATGACGTAGCGGGCATAACCTTAGGCTGTTCGAACTCTATATACCCTTTCGCAACGCCAGGGATTATTTCGTTTAACTAGCTTTCTGGATTCCACAGACACCTTTTCGAAAGTTGTATGAAATACTAGGGCTGTATGGAACACACGCACTTTTATATGTTTTCTCAGAAAATTACGAATTTCATGTGAAATGTTAACAACTATCAAACTTAAGCCTGATCATCTCATTCATCCGGGCTACAGACTATGTGATTTTTTATTTTTTATACAAAAAATCATACATTTGCTGCTTCTAACTAGTCTGAATTCGATGTTCCCACCCGCTCCGCCACATTTGAAAGATGGCGCTCAATATCAGTTTTTGAGTAGTATCTCCATTCCGATCTTCCTACAGTAAACTTATAGTTAAATGACAAATTAATGTTGAAAAACACTTGCTAGAATTTACGTAACCGACGTTTTGTATGATGGATTGTTTAGGCGTACAAGCGCGCCAAACTTTATCTAATTCGTTTGTGCGGGGAACCGTTTGTTTATTCGGTGACGTTCTAGGAAAAACTAAAAGGTCATAAAAGCAAGCTTCACCATTATTGTACGCCGAAACGCTTAATCATACAAGAGATGTTGAATAAACTGAAAGAGATTGTAGGAAATTATATCTAATTTATCATATCCCCATTTTCAACTTGAAATAAGTCTAAAGTAGATACTGCAAAGGACTGGTTCCATTGGGGCTATATTTCCAATATGGTGGCTTTGGTGGAAAGGATGCGAGGTAACAAGGTGCAGATTCAGAGGGAACACATCGGTGTGCAGGAGAACGTTCAGTTATTTGGATCTTTCAAAGAGGGTTAAAAATATTGGTGGCCGCTTTTTTGGCATATGTCATAACAAATATACACATCTTCCTTATAACATATTGCGACCGCAGATATGAACTTGTCTTTCAGCAATATAAAACGCGCTCAGAGTTTGTGCATTATGTTGAATAAATTAATAATTTACCTCCGTCACCACAGGGAAGTACTCTAAACGTAAAAATACATCAAAGACAGTTTTCATTTGACAAATAAGTAACTCGAAAATCAAACAGATGATGAAACGGTATGTAGGTTCATACTCGTATATCACTTTCTACGTCACCTATACATTCAAGGCATTACGGGCCTTCATATTTATGAACTATACGTCAAAATCCATAAAAACGTACTTCTAGACTTACTCACTTATCTAGGTGTTTGGGCAATTGTCCCTGAAACAGAAGAGAAACACATAAATTTTGTTAATGCCTCAAAGCTATATATGTATGTACATGCGTAGGAAACACGCTCTTTGTCATAAAAGCAAACTATTCATTGTTTTTGGTACCCAAAGACAATAATATAAGCGTACATGCTTATTTCGTAAATATCTTTTTATGAAATGGCATCTTCATTTTCTAGTCAAATTTTGTTTAGAGATTTGAATCTAACATTTGCTCTCTATTACAGTATTGTCACTGCAAGTGGACGTACAATGGAGGGAGCGTTTGGTGCTACCTGGGCAAAACGCAACATTTTTGTGTCGAGTTGGAGTCCCCCTTCAGTACTGCAGAATCGAAATTCCAGGACTAAAGACATACAACTTGAAACAAAGTTCGAGAGATGACTTTGTAAGTACTAATGTAAGAATTGAAATAGTTTTTTAAGCAAAATCTTGTTAGCCTCCTATACTTGTTTCGCAAAACTAAACGTTCTTATAAACTAAATTCTATAATAGTGTATTCTAGAAAACAGTAGTATTTTACCAGCCATTAAGCAGAAAAATTTACCTTTTCGATAGGCTTTTGAAGCGTTGACTTCCACTTCTCAGTGCACGGACTTATTTATGCTCTAGGGCGATAAAATAAGTTTAAGTAAATAAACCTATCGCGTGTCATATAAACAACGGAATAGCTCTATTTTTCAAGGTAAGAAATTTAAAGCAAAGTAAAGGTCAAGTTTTGGATTTGAGCTTGAGCACTACCTTTAAGATTATTTCAAGCACAACTTTTGTTTTTTAGATGGTAAGCCTTCTTTTCCACACTGATAGTCAAAATAACGGAAATTTCTAGGTTCTAGTTTGAATTAAAGTCTAAGGTCAAGGTCACCTCTAAAGGTCAAATGGAGGTCGAATATATCAGGTTGGGAACCATACCTAGAAGTTTAGTAGGAATACTGATGAAAAAATAGAGGTCATATCTTTAGTAACTTAACAAGAATTCATAGTTGGATTCGATCGTGACTATCACCTCCAAGATTATGATAGTACACGAAAAGTATGAGACTGCGAAATTTTCTAATCCTGGTGACAGAAGGAGCCTTGCAGCTATAAGAAAGTTGACTTCGAAATGATTTCGAAGGGGAGGTTCAAGGTTTAGTCCAAGGTCACCATTAAATTAATTGTTAAAATTTGTTGGAGAGCTGTCATTAATAATTTCTGTCTCAATAATCGCGCTAACCTCTAGAGACTGTTTAGACTTTTTATAACAGCACACATTTGACCTTTAAAGGTGACCCTAGATTTTAGTACATCGTCAGTAAAAAATAATTCCTATAATGTGGTTTCATTTGCCCATTGGCGTTCTATATAAATTTAAATTGATTAATTTCTTGGCTCTATTTACTAAAATTCATCATTATTGTATTGTTTGAAAACGGTAGGCTCCTTGGAACTAAACAATGTAACTTGTACCGTTCTATAATCCTCTTGAAAACAATCAATAAATTCAATAATAATTGTGAAACATTTTTCTGTGACTTCAAAAAAACAGAATGATGAGCATTTTCCATGAATAACAAAAACACACAAATCGTTCTCCAGCTTTAATCTTTCCTGAAAAAATGGAAATGGGAGTACGTAACAATGAATAGATTTAAACCGATAAATTGTTAGCCTTCTTTGTTTCTCTACATTTTTACGATGTATATTCAAATTCTTCCCATACAGGTTACATATTATGGCAATGGATTGAAGTCGGGCGAATGTGGCGTGACGATATACAGGGTGGAAGAGAAGAACAACGGCAATGTAAAATGTACATTGGGATTAGAAGACGACTCAACGGAATATGTTGGGACAATGCAACTGGTAGTAGCGAGTAAGTATTTGGATCGTTTGGTTTTATAGCATAAATAATTGTCTCACTTTCTCCGTTGTAATTTATTCAGGGTGTTTGGTACATGAGCCAACAAATTTTTCATTTTTTTTATGTCTTAGCTCTTAGATAAATTTTTATGCTGAATTTCCTGAAATTGGCCATACAGATCGTTATAAGTTATTTGTTTGCCGGGATAACAAAAAATAAAGGTGATGTATGATTAACCAAAGCAAGTAAGTAGTTCATAAAAAGGCATCAAAAAGTGACTCATAACCTACCACAGACAAAAAAATTTAATTCCAAAATTCGACTACAATGTAGATAATTTACGTAATCCGGGTATCGGTGGTCATTGACTACAAAGCGACTTTCATAATAGATTTTTCTAAACCAGTCTGTTTATTGCTTCGCAATTGCTATCTTCATTATTCTAATCAGATTATTTCTACGATATGTAGTAAACTGTCGGAAAGGTAATGAACTTTTATAGAGAAAGTTAAAATCCAAGAAAGGTATAGTTTTGTTGTAATTGAATTTTGAATTTCGAATTTTTCATTTACTCCCCTCACAATTTGACGACTTTGGAAGGCGCAAACTATTTATTTGTTCTAATTAAGTATAATATGTTACAGATCACAGCCACGTTTATTTTATCTTATTATCTAGACAGAAAAGTTATAACGATATTTATGCTGCCTTTTAGGGAATTCAGCATAAAAACAAAAAAAAATGTCTCAATACCGTAGCCCTTAGAGCATTACGGTTTTCAATTAAACTAATCAAATAGTGCCCCTACTTATTCAAAAAAAATTTGGGCCATGTACCAAACACCCTATTTAAAAAGTATTTTTTCTATCATAGGAAGTTCGCGTAAAAAATGTAAAATTCTAAAGTGAATGCGACTTCCACTACTCAAAATTGATTTTGAAGTTCCTAGGTATTCTATAAAGAAATAGTAGAATGTCCAAATGTATGTAATGATTATTTCCATACTTTAGAGCCACCTCAACCGCCAGAACTGGATCTTAGTAGAGGTACAGACTCCGTGAGAATATACAAAGTAGGCGACGTATTGGAGGCATCATGCATAGTCAAGGATGGCAGGCCTGTGGCAAACATAAGCTGGTTTTTAGGTAAGCAAACTGCTGTTTAGTTATACTGACATAGAAAGAACACCCAGTAATAATGAATGTATTACAAAAACTTGTGTATACAAGTATACTAATCTTAAGATTAGTTAGGTAACTAGATGATCGAAATTTCCGAAAAACCCAACCGTTGAAAAAATGTAAAGAAATAATACTTTGATAGACCTCCACATGTTAATTAGCATATTTTAGTTGCAATTTAGGAGCCCGATATAATGAAGCAGGGAATACAATCAAATAACTGCATTATATCAGTCCATTATAGATAGAGCTTGTAAGGGCTGCCGAAACCATATCACTTTTTCCTTGAAAATAGCACATCACTGAGTTGCTTATTTTAATTACAGACGATGATCCTATCAACCAAAACATGCTCAAAATGCCAACTGTGGTTGACTTAGCGAAAGAAAATCTACAATCCAAGATACAGAATCTGACACTGGTTCTGCATCCGATTCATAATGGAAAGTTTTTGAAGTGCGTGGCCTTCCATCCTGCCTATCCTGGAGGACACAGTGAAACCAAACGTATGCTGGATGTGAGGTGTAAGTATATTTTATATATTGTACTGTAAGGGGAGCTTTTGAAAACATGCATAAACGTTTTGGCACCAATTACTTTTAGCCAGGTATAGAAAAGTGTCGATGTCTTGTACAGAAGTGTCAAAAGTGAAAAGCAAGTGTCTATACTTTATGTTTACATCCCCAGTCGCATTGTTTCTTCAACAAGCGGTCTAAAGTGTATTAGAGCAGATTGTAGAATATTACCTCGATTGTTTAGTCAATACATCTGAATTTTCAAATTGTATTCTTGTAGATGCTCCGGAACCAGCTGAAGAGCCGTTGGACAAGTTTGGCTACCAAATTGGAAGACTAGGCGTCATCAACGTGACATTTAGAGCCAATCCAAGACCGAAGATTGAATGGAGCGTCGCTGGGGAGAAAATTAGAGAAGGGTACACTGATAGTACTGGCAGGATGGAAGCAGAAGAGTTAAAAGATCTGGTAAGAAAAATTATACATGCATTCATTATTTCAGGGTTGTTACTATACTCTCATTCGGAGTGCTAAGAAGTTGTAGAATTCTTCGAAATTGTAATGCTCTATTTAGCTTATAAGTTTTGCTGATACTGAAGGGCTTGAATGCACCTATGTCACACTGCGAGATCTAGATTTACAAGTTTTATGTAAATCCTGAAATCGTGTTTCTTGCTTAGTTACTTAGTTGCTTTTATACGAAAATGTGGTTTTCTATTCAAATGTGGCTTAGATATCTTGTTGTCGCAAGCCCTTCAATTTTTGAATTCTACCAACTGGTACAGCTATTTGAAATTAGTAAGGATGATGTCAAAATTACTCTAAGACTAAATAAGCCTAATTTTGTAGGGTCGAGGACTTTACGTAGCGAATCTGAGGATAGCAGCCATAAGAAAAGAAGACACAGAGACTGACTACATCCTAACAGCTTACAATGACTTGGGACCTCAAGATTACAGAGTAAAAATCTCCACGAGTCCTGAACCTGCAGGTAGGGTCACAATTACATTATGCTTTGCACATATTTATTATAGTTAAGTATTTGGAAACAATATATATTAACAATAATTTAAAGTTTTTACTCCTGTTTCATGCTGTCAAACAGGCATACATAAATTTTTGAGGCAAAAAATATATGGTAAGTCTCCACCAAAGTCTCCGAACTTATACGTTGGGGTATGACTATAATCATATTTGATCTGACTTACATACGTTGAATTTCACGTTAAGACAGAAGTTATTGGTAGTCTGCAGGTATTGACTTATAATAATGCTATAATTGCCAATAAATAATTTAGAGACCATTTCACACGTTTAATAATTTTTGGATTTGACAGACGGCTTCTGGAACATAAAAATATTCACAACACTTATTACCCACCTTTTATCTACATCTGAAAAATTGGTACCTATCTTCGAGGATGTCTACTACTGATACTCAAAATTAGAAAAAAAAACATTATTTAAATTGTATTTGTTGTTATTCGTACTGGTATCTTGGTTTTGTGGGAGATATGTGCTTTACAAAAACAATTATTTTGATTCAAGAATATTACTCTAAAGCTTCCATCTTTTATAGGACTAGACTTGGGCGTGGGTGCTATTATTGGCGTGGTAGCAGTAGCTCTGATTGTCATATTGTTGTTGTCCATCTTGATCTTCGCCAAAGTTACCGGAAGGTGGTGCTTCAGCGGTAAGTTTACACTCTACCTGAATAGTTCTTGACGTTTTGGTGTGAGGTTGTCAAATGCTAAGATAAGTAAAACATTCACTTCACGACCAGGATAACGCACATTCGAGCTGGTTATTGTTTCAAAAAAATATTGTAGCTGTGTTATTGATAATGTATTCCTTGTAACACCGCACAAGAGATCATACGAGTGCCGTTTCATGGGTCAGTGACTTTTCGAATTTCCCGCGCAGTAACTTTGAATGCAACACTGCTGCCGTCAACTGCCATCTTTTATATGACAACTGTCAAAATTTGAACAAGCTGTATCATTTCATTTGAGTTTGACAGCCGTTGAAAGTATACAGTCTCATAAATTCTAACAAAAATGGAGAAAAGTGAATTTCGTGTTCTAATTAAACATTATTTTTTGCGTAAAAAAAAACAACACAGCAACTAAGGAAAGGCTTGACAAATACTATGGGGACTCTGCACCATCTATTTCAACGGTGAAGAAGTGGTTTACTGAGTACCGTCGTGGTCGAACCAGCACAAGTGGATAAGAAATTGTGGATAAGATCCATGGGATGATATTGGAAGATCGGAGAATAAAAATACGTGAAGTAGCTGAGACTATCTCTACTAAGCAGGTACATCACTTTTTAGATGAATACTTGGACATGAAAAAGCTATCCGCGAGATGGTTGCCACGATTGCTCACAGTCGACCATAAGCGCAACCGTGTGACCATTTCAAGGGAATGTTTGGCGATGTTCAGCCGCAATCCGAACGAATTTTTGCGCCGTTTTGTAACTGTAGACGAAACATGGATTCATCACAATACACCAGAAAGCAAAGAACAATCAAGATAGTGGGTTTTACATGGTGAGCGTGCTCCAAAGAAGGCCAAGATGGGTCTGTCAGCCAGCAAGGTTATGAATCAAATTCAAGCGGATAACCAAATGAAAATGGTATTTACCATTTTTTTTTTGGTATTTACCGATCCGTTCAAGCGAGTATGGTTATCAGTTTGGCTATAAGATCCGTGACGTCATGACTCGGCTGTTATATGTCATAGTTATCATCGCAAAATTGTGGTATTTACCCAACTTGGGAGTAGTTTTATATTTCTGGTTATTATTTGAAATGTGACAAGTTAGAATTTTGCCGGGTATTGGATATTGTTATTGTACTTCATTTTTGGGAAACTTGATACAGGCTGATTTCAGTGTCAGCATAAAGTGGAGCACCTCATTAGTTATACTCATTACTGTTGTTGGGAACACTTTCAATCTAGTTCCTATGTTTAACAAAGTATCCTGTGCAGCCATATACCACAAGAATATTAAAATATGGCCATTCAACTCACTGGATGATGTCCACCTGTGTACAGTTTTGCTAATATCTTTTTTCATCGTTTTATAATAATAATAATAATAATAATAATAATCTTTATTTGTTCTGTAGATCATTTGTCATGACATAGAACACGTCAAGGTACTCTATCTTGAAACTAAGACAAACATTACAAAAATAGATAAATAAAAATAAAAACAATACACATATGAAATATATGACAGTCCCAAAAACAATGAACAAAAATACAACAAGTACATATTAAAATAAATCGGCCAAGTTAAAATATATAAATAAAAATAAATAAAATACAAGAACCAGAAATAATATGCTACAGTAAAAAATGTATATGGGACTGATAATAATAATAATAATAATAATTTATTCATCCTTTGGATCACAAGTGATATAGGATAAGTCAATTGAATATTTGTATAAACAGAATTGCCTACATACATAAATAACATTCAAAACATCAAATAAAAACACGAAGTGTATAAACATGAAAACAAATTAAAATACAAATTAATAAATTAAAATTGAACCATACATTAAAACAATTAAAAAAGACTATCACTCATTAAAAACTCTTCTATAGAGTAGAAAGCTTTATCAAGTAAAATTTGCTTGATTCTTTTTTTAAATAATATCAGCGGTAGTGATTTACAATCAATGGGTAGTTTGTTGAAGAGTTTTATTCCCATGTATTTGGCACTCTCCTCCGTCCTAGACAACCTATGTGCCGGCACCTCCAATACTTCTCTGTTTCTGGTATTATAAATTCCAGAATTTATAGAACTAAAATTGTTCAGGTGAGATTTGACGTAAATCAATATATTCAATATATATACTGAAGGCACCGTCAAAATCTTCAAATCAGTGAATAGTTCCCTGCAACTAAAGCGCCTTTCCACCTTTGCAATAGTTCTAATAGCTCTTTTTTGTAATATAAGAAGCCTTTGTAATTTGGAGGATGCTCCCCATGCTTCTATTCCATAAGTCAGAGTAGAATGGAAATGTGCATGGTAAAACATTAACAATATCCACTTATCAACGATAAAACTCAGCTGGTACATGCAATAGCAAAGAGAGGTAATCTTTTGACTAACTTTCTCTATATGCGTATCCCATTTGCAGTTTTGCGATATGTGTATTCCTAAAAATTTTATAGTTTCTGCTTGTTCCATGGATCTACCGCTTGATTTTATAGAACTCTATAAGAAATACATCTCCCGTCTTAGACAAATTATACAGATAGTGAAGCTTATCTCTTGATATTAGGATACCTTTTGTAATCCATCGTTTTCTGGCTCTTGCTTTTACGGTTTTGGTTATAACTGGGAATGCTATGTCAACGTAATACTGAAACGTTTGTAGGAATAAATCAAACTTCTCATTAATATCCCCAGTGGAATGATAAATGTGGTCCCAGGTTTCTTGACCTAGGAGAGCTAAAAAATTGTTGATGTTGGATTTATTATACAGGTCTTGGTACTGGTAGGAAATCTGAGGTGGCTGTTCATCTTTTTGATAGTATAGAGTTAATAATTGAGCAAAATGATCGCTAACATTATTGTTTACTACTGCAGTATCACACTTTACATCCACCCCTACACAAATATTGTCTATGCAATTAGATCCTCGCGTAGGTTGTTTGATAACAGGCTTCAGTGAATATGAGCTTAAAACATCCAACAGACAATTTAAATCTAAAGAGTTTTTGTTAAAATTTATGTTAAAATCACCACAAAGGACAATACCACATTTTTTACATTTAATGTTTAAGATATTTAAAAGGTCTTCAAGTTTTTCTAAAAAAATTTTAAAATCGGCATCAGGACTTCTATACAGAGAAACAATAACCGAATTGAGGTTTTCGGTTATAACTTGAATTCCACTACATTCGAAATGCTTATCAACTGAAATATCATTCAAATAGTCTAGATTATTGTATTCTAGTCCTGCTTTGAGGTATATACATGTCCCGCCATGATGAAAAAGCTTTCTACAGTATGAAGTTGCTAAAATGTACTCGTGTATATATAAAGACATAATTTGGTCAGAATTTGCCCAGTGCTCAGAAACACAAAATATATCACAGTTATTTTCATTTAGAAACACTTCAAGCTCAAGTAGTTTGTTACTAAGGCATTGCACATTTTGATGAATTATTTTTAAACTATTTGAGTTATTTCCATTAAAAATACAACCATTTTCATTGATTATTTGGAGCTCTATCAAAGAAAAAGCTTGCACTTTGATGAGGGGGTTGTATCAATTACTCTCAGTACTATATTTGTGTGATTAGTGTACTTCATAAATTCGTTTGCTACCATTTTGAGTACCGCTATCGGGTTAGACACGTTAGTCTTAAATTTGAGTGATATATTGGTATTCGTATTTATGAATCTGGCTACTGCCCTACTTAAGTAGTTTTCTACCCTAAAATCCTCAACATGACTGCGATGCGTCATGATAAATAAATTAGTTAGCTTACTAAGTGGAAGCAAATGCCTCAAAGCAAAATTTAATTGCTTAAAGTTGGATATATTCATAGAGCTCACCATTACAATAATAAGGTCATGTTTACCATACTGTTGCGAGTAGTGGAACAATGACTTAGCTAACTCCGAAAACTCTAAGCCAGGCTTTACTACACCTTCTATAATTATGTCTCGATTAGATAACAATGAATGCAACACTATGGAACCGCTTTTCGCAAACTCATCACCGATAATTAGTACTTTGCGTTTCTTATCTGTTTTATGGATTTCACTAGCTTGCACGGGCAAAACTTCACTGGCATTAAGTAAGCTTATATTTTCTGTAACTGTTTCAAGTAGAATTGCCTCCCGTTCCAACAAACTGTTGTCATGCATTCCGTCTTCATTATTTGAAACTTCTGTAGAGTATTCTTCTGCAATATGTTTTTCTCCGCTCCTTTGTCCTTTTTGTTTTATGGATACGTTATCAACATCCAAGTCACTTTCAATATTTAATGTTTTTCCATCTATTCCTTGATTAAGTTCCATTATTTGATTCAGTTGCTCAATTTGTTCAATTTGTCTGCTGATTTCTTGATTCAATTCTCCGTTTCTCTTCTTTACATCTGCTACTTTATCCTCCATGAATTTTATACCAGCTTCAGTTATATCGGTTTGCGTCTGTGTATGAAACAGTTGTTTGTTCACTGATAAATTATCGAGAGTTTTTTGTAGAGTACTTATTATTTCATTTTTATTGGATAGCTTTAGTTTCAGTTCTTTAATTTCTTCCAACATACTTGCGTTTTTCTCCATTATGTCTTCGTTTATGGCCTGCTGCTGTGCGAGTTTATTTCTAAGGTTATCAATAATATTATTAGACATATCCTGATTATCATCAGAATCATAGTCACATTTTATACTTATATAACTCGTATTAGCAGAAGATGATGCTCCTTTTGTCAATTGAGAAGTTGATGGTGTTTTCGTTGGTCTATTTGCCTTTAAGTTGCGAACATTGGATCTTGTGAGAACCTTAGACATTGTGCTAGCTATTATTGCTTGTTTGCTTTGATTCCCACCCAGTTACTGATATGCGTCAAGTAAAGATAATTTGAAGAAGATCCGATTATGTTACACCACTGGGTCAAAGGAATGTAGTGACTTACTCGATATGCTATGTTTACGATTGTCCCATTCAAATCAAATGCAGAAAATTCGAGCTGAACAATCTTCACATGGGAAATCAACACATTCAAATAACTAGATTATAACACTCGCACTATTAAATTCACACAGACTATCACAATTTTATCAAAAAATTTCGGATCGAATCTAAAGACATTTCATCTCTTCATAGGCGCGCATCATTTCTGCTAAATCAATAAATGTTTTCTTTGACATGCGGAAAACTTTAGAGAATTGAAAGTTATCATAGCTACAAAACCATGGTTCCATCATTAAAAAAATTTTTCTGAAAAAAAAAACATTTCTCCCATGAATATTATGAAAGGTTTCTTATTTAAACTTTCCATACACCGTTGTAGACAAAAAAGCACCGATTATTAAGTGATAATAAAAATAATCAGAGATTATATACCCACTTCTAAAATAACTTGCAACAAAACCGCGGTTAAAACCAACGCGTTCAAGCGATTCTTGTATTGTATATTATAACCGCGGCACATAACACAGAAATGTTGGTTATTCGCTTGGATTTGATTAAGGTCACAGTTTTCTGCTGTTCCATCAAGACAACGCACGGGTACACACGTGTGTAGTCTCGATGGCAAAACTTCATGAACTGGGCTACGAACTGCTGCCCCGTCTAGCCTATTCTCCAGATTTAGCCCCCAGCGACTACTTCCTATTTCCAAACCTGAAAAACTGGCTGGGTGGTAAGAAATTTGGGTCGAATGAAGAGGTCATCATTGAAACAAACGCATATTTTGGGAGGCTTGATAAAAACTACTATTCGGAAGGAATTAAGAAATTGGAAAAACGCTGGACTAAATGAATCGAGCTGAAAGGAGATTATTTTGAGAAATAAAATGCTCATTTGCCGAATTTTTTTTTATTTAAAAAGTCACTGACTTATCAAACAGCCCTCGTATTATGGATTTATTAAGATTAAATCAAGAATACCTGATCAGTAAGACTTAACATTTGCAAATGTACTCAAATAATGATTGATGCGTGTGGGGCGAATAGTTTTACTTGTCATCGCATATGATATAAATGTGTAATTGAGTGTTCATATGAGTATAGGAAAATAAAATCGTCGGCTGAACATGGAAGTTACGTTTTACAGATCATCTTTGATGATTTTTTATAGTACAAATCTTCCAAAAATCTTTGATGTCCAGCTGGCGATTTTAACTTGTATATACATATATTTATGATAGATTTGACTATATCTTTTTGGATGCAGTTACAATAAAGTCATCTCCACTGAAATATTGATCTTGTTTACAGAACATTTAAGCATCACAATTAATTTCAAAAAATTTGTGAGCTTTCAAACGTCAAAGTTGTTCGGTGGGAAGCTTCGGATGTTCTATTGACTCGCTATTATAGTATACAGCAACTCAAGTTTTTAAAAGCTTATGGAATATTAGTCGTTTCAAATACCTAATTTGAGTTAAAATTGATACAGCATTATGGAAAACTTTTCTCAGTCTGCATCAGCAATGACTGGAAAATTTTGATATAAAAAATTACTGCATTTGCTGGCACCAATAATTAGTTTAATGCCATTTTAGTGAAGATGACTTTCATAATTACTCAATTGATACATTAGCATCTTGAAAAAACCTTGTAGTTTATGTGTTGTATTTGTATTTGATTTATTTTGTCTACTACAAATAAAAGCTAATATCCCAAGAGGCAAGTTTTGTGGTAAGTTCTTTGATAGGTTGATTTAATACGTAGTTCTAGCATGGTTATTGTTGATAAAGTTACTTGCATGTTTGGTATTAGGATTTTGTTGCATAATGTCAGAAATATCATCAGTATAAATTCCATTCGAAATTCTATAAAATTGTGTTTTTTCCATTTATGTTAAAATAGATTATTCGCATATACTTGCCTCTCTTCATAACTCGGTGGTCTATTTCCTGCAATTTGACTAAGGTATATTTAATATATCGGATTAAATACCATCATGGCTTTATTATATTGCTTTTACTAACTAGCTCCGGATCGTTTTAGTATTTCTGAATGGGCCGCAATAGGCCATTGGAAACATGCTTCGATTCTCCAGCAATATATCAAGAAGTAACCGCAGTCAGTTTCAAGATAGTTGAAAAAGAGAGATAAAAATATTTTGAGACCTTATGGAAGTATACTTCGGGAAAAATCTACCACGAATTGAAAAATAGACAACCCCCTTATTTCAAAAGTATACATCCACAAAACTAAAATTATTATATAAGCAGCATCAGGCAATGTCATATTACACTATAGATTACTTACATACGCGGTATTCTATTTTAATCTCCTTAACCAGATATTTCGAAAACTGCGCATTCTAGAAAAAAACTTCAAAAAGGAGTCGTAGGGCAAAATGATGGCGAACTTGACCATGACCTTGAGTAGGACCGTTATGGTCTCGTGAGTATTTTCAAATGGTCCCCTCCGCTTTTCACATCGAAATTGAATAGAGGACACTTTTACGCCCGAGCATCACCTTGGCCATGACCTTGACTATTGCATTCAAGGTCGAAATAAGACATCGAAAACAATTTGCTTTGACAAAAATACTCGACAGCATAGTTGTGAGGTTTGTGAGGATTGTTTATGTTTTAAGTTCAAGTCCACATTCAGACGTTCCTCCTTTTTTCCATTTTCAGTAAAAAAATGAGGTTTCTTTTGTAAATTTTGACTTGGACTTGAAGGTTATGGTCAAGGTCACCTTTGGGAGATCCCCAGAAACCTCATCCATGCGCTGTCGAACATTTTTGCTACAGTGATCGTGAACTGACCTTGAAGGCAATAATTAAGGTTATTTTCAAAAAAATGACCTTAGTGACCTTGAAGGTCGTCGTAGCCAAGGGAACCATAATTGTGCCTCCTTGAAACCCTACACCGTTTGTTAGTCACTTGTTTAAACTGTGTATAAATTCCTCGTATGTAGTATCTCTATTAGTGTATAGTATCACAACCCTAAAATGTATTTATTGTACAAAAGTAGTTTGGTAGTGGGCTCTTAGACACAAAATCTCCACATATACACAATTCTCCACACCTCCTTTTATTCTTGCTATCTTCAGATACATTGCATATTCACAAAGATTATATCTAAAGACTTCATTATACATAGTGCTTACAAGATCAAATTCATAGAATACATTAAAACTCAATAACGAAATATCCATACCCTCAATGCATCAAAACGTTCTCAACATTACAAAATGTTTATGCACCTACACCTAAACACATCGAAAAGTTAAACAACTTTGAAAATGAGGTTTCTGTTGTTTCACTCATTTGTTTCTCCCAAAATCTTTGCGCTTTTACTTTAGCAACGGCTTTCGATTGCATTCAGAAATTCTGGTAATACCATGCCAACAGAACCTAAAGCAAATGCTACATGCTCAATATTTACTGTGACACCTTAATACTTGTTCTGAAATTTGGTATTTATTGTGTAACGTGTAGCGTAGGCATAGTGCATTGACGGTTACGTAGGAATCCGCTAATTAATCAATAAATACCGATGGTATGCAAATTCTGGATGTGTAGCATTCGCTATCGGAATCAGCGCAATGTTTCGAAAAAAGTGCTGCGAGTATATACATATTGAATGCCAAATATGTTTGACTGCGGAAAGAAAATTATCTATGTACTTATCGAGTCTAATATTCATTTTTTGTAAATAAACAATATATCTGAAGTAGCACAAGATATTCAATATCTGCTGGCCGAAGCTTCAATAATTGAAACTTGCTACAAAACATTCTTCAGAGTAGACCACCTCTGCTATATTAGCTTTTATTTGTTGTAGGCGGCGCCACCGTGATCGACTACACGGCGGCAGGTGGCGAGAACGGCCACCAGGGTCGTGCGCAAGGGGTGGAAAACCCCCACCACCAAGTCTCTTCCGAGTACATCAACGGAAATGACTTGCCAATCAAGAAGGACGAAAAGATCGATACGGCCGTATAATCTACGAGGTTCTAGATAGGGGGGTGGACGTGGCAAACAGTGAGGATGAATATGGAGGGATGTGACGATTGATATAATGGGCGGGACTTGTGATGTGTTGATATTTGTTATGTTACGTGCAGGGCGGGGAATTGGGAATTTTCAGTTCGCCATCAAGTTAGTGAAATCGTGAAACTAAGGCTGAAAAAATAGAATGCACGATGTTTGTCTTGGATATACTATTTTTCGTCAATTATGATTTATTTAACCTTCATAAAAAGTTATTTTGTAAATGGCTGAAGCACTATTATTTTATCACTATCACTGCCGTCGCATTAGAGTGATACATCTTTTTTACGGTGTGTCAACTGGGGATCCCATGAAACAGGAAATTTTCATTTTTAGTATTGTCATTGTACATTGTGTATCTACACTAAATGGTTGATTTTGGGCGGCCATAGATAAAATTGTGTATGTATCTCGATAATGATAGTCTTTTTCCCCTTACGTGTTAGATCCGTAGGCCTTACCCATCCTCTTAACACCTTAGATATATAAAAAACTATAATCTGTCATTCCTTCAGAAAGAGAGGTAGTCAAATGTAGCTATTTACGATGTAGGAGGCATTGATAAAAGAAACATTATTTCTGCAGAGTGTTGTCAGAAAAACTGAGGTACAGACTCAGTACGTTAAAATTCGAAGAAAACATATGTATAAAAATGCTTCGTTTCTATAATACGAGTAACTTTAATAGTTCCTGCATTCCACGAAAACAGAATTTTGGTGAATGTAAATTTTTATTTAATATCACATTAACATGCACAATGTTTTTTTCTAAAGCACTTCTTATTTAGCGAACAAACCGCACGCCACTGTTTATTGCAAAAAATTACATCTTGGAGTTTGTCGTTCAGACGCACTGTTTTCAAAATGAAAATTAGTTTATCAAGCTCAATCTGATTTCTGGCTACATTGTGTAACTTCATGTGTGACAATAAAAAATATACAAAATACACAAATCAAAAAAGCTTCAATAAATCGATTAATCTCAGTCTCGTTGAAAAACTAATAATAATATAGTTAATAGTTTTGGTAAATTGTCCCCTATCAGCTTTGCCATGAAGTTCTCCGAGTACAACTAATATAGTCTCTCTCTGTGCTCAAGGAACATACAAGACCTGTCCAGCTTATTTACCATTGTATATCTTACGCTCTAATGTTCCGCAAGGGTAAAACAAGAAACTTCACGCAACGACCCAGCCGTTTGAATCTGTACGATGCGGTAGCGTAGAAGTTCTAGCTCCATACAAAACCAAGACAAACATTCGTAGCATTCGTATTTGTCTGCAATGTTGGCAATGGTCGCCAGAAGCGACTGAGTTCAGCCGCAGCAGCCCAGGACGCTAGCTGAAACTTCCCCGTCATAAATTCCACCGATTTATGATTCTCGGTTGGAACTTTTCAAAATGATCGCACTTTGAGTTTGGCACCGACGATTACGTTACTTTTATCCTATATGAGCGGTGAATTTGTCTAAATGTGTAATAATTCATGATGGATCGTACTTCTTCACTCAATTTTGCGACATACTTTGGGTCAGTAGAATCTAACACATTTTTTTTGTTACGGCTACAATACGTAAAGCGAAGCATCCCATACAACTTGAAAAAAATAATAATATAATTATTCGACTGGAGCACCAGATGGCATCTCTTACCACCACCAAATATAAAGTGCTGATAGGTCGACATCAAATAGGTACATCATCTCATTTAGTAAACAAGAACTTGAGAGATAGGAGAAATGGGCACCGACAGGATACGAACCGGCATGTCCCCCAACCAATTAATCTACAGCTACCAACTAACTTACAGAATCGACTGTTGGTGGCAAATTCAATCCTACCCAAGCCTCTGCTCCTTTGTACCCTCAAGCAGCCCCGGTGGCCACATCAGACGGCGTTCAAGTAAAAAAACCGGCTGATACTGTAGTAGTATACTAACAGGTTAGGTCGACTCCAGGGTACGGAGGAGATGCGGGTTCGAATCCCGCCAGCGCCCATTTTTCCTATACCTCAAGTTGTTCACTAAACTTACCCACTGTTGCGAATGCGCTCATCCAAAAAATCCTATACAGGTTACGGGTCTCGCACGGTGGCACCGTGGTGTGTACCCACGAGGCGGCGTGGTGTAACTTGAAAGCGATTGTTAGTTACCTTACCAATCTGGTTGTTTCACTTGAACGCCGACAGATGGGGCACCAAGGCAGCTTGAGAGATCAAAGTATGGCGTGGGGAGGATTGAATTTGACTCTAGCAGTCGATCCTGAAAGTTGATTGGCAAGTGGTTCTGTAGACTAATTGGTTAGCTCGACTCTACCGAATGCTTACTGTTGTTGTGGATGGGCTCGTCTAACAATCGTATTCAGTCAAAGGTGGCCTAGTTGCCAATTTTCGCTTCTCCACTACTACTAGTGATTCAATTAAAAAGATTTTCTAGCAGGGACTAATTGATGCCGAAATGCAATGAAGCAAGCTATTATTGAAGTAATAATGTCTTTTTTATTATTTGGGCATCGTCTAAATAACCACCGCTGCTTCGCACGGTGGTACGGATCTGAAATGTCTAGTTTTTAATGACTATACTGTATAAATTTGGAGTTTTAGCCTGGTTTATGATTACTTTGAGGGCGTTGCTTGGTTGCGACTGATATGCAAGTTTACAGAATCCCACAAAAGCTCTGATAAGAATAAATCCACCAAACCAACTCACGTGACCTCTATAAGAGATAACCTTACACAAATAGTTCATCAAAAATGATCATTATCATCATCACTATGTGGTGTGCTAGAATCACATGTCATGTAGGTCTACCTATATGGTCAATTCAGACCAAAATGTCGAAAAAATACGGACCAATAATGCGTTAACAAATCGCCACGCAACAATTTTTTGTGGGATTGCATTGCAAGTGGTAGATATTTGGAGCGATGAGCGTATCATTGAAAAATACACCATTCTATGTGCGTATACAACTATGCTTGTATGTATCTGTAGACTGTGTAAGCCAAGGAGACAATGTTTAAAATAGCAAATATTACATCAATTAGATCTCTTAGATATACGCAATGCCTATAACAGAGACTTTCGAATAATTAGAAAAGATAGATATGTATTATTCATATGCGATAAGTACCACGACAAACTTAAGGAGAAGGTAGGCTTTGGACTGAGTTCCCAAATAACAAAAACTTACCTATATAAAAGTGTCACCGTTTTTGAAATATTGCATTTTTTCTTAAATTTTAAAAAACGAACCTTTTCATCTGTGGTCTTTAGCTGCATGTACAAATAAGGTTATACTTTGATCATTTCTTTTATAAAATACTTCTAGATAGTTGCTTTATCATATACAAATGCAATGTAGTTAAAACATATTAAGGAACCATGATAAAATAAGGACTGTTTTGGGATTCATAGCCTTCTGATATGTTTTCCTATATATCCAGGGTGACTTTGAAGTTGAGTCATTAATTTTCAGATAATGATTGTAGAAGGAAGATAAACCAAAATATGTGTGTAAAAATAAAAAAAAAATAAAAAAAAAAATGTTACCTTGTTTAATAAAGTATCCTCCCGACAAGTATTTTAGTGCCGACCTGTATTTGATCGTGCGGTCTTGGAGCACCGGCATGCCCTCACCTGTGAGGTTTTAAGTCACCTGATTCACGAGCCCTTTGTACTACATTAACAAAGGCACGAGGGGTTGGTTGCACTCGATTGGGAAACCGATTCGCATAAATCCGTGATGCATCCGGCAGCATTTTGTAAAGACTGCCCCCCCGTAAATAAGAATCATGTCCACAAGTTCAGCATTTTCGTAAACATGTGCCATTTTTCATTTCGTTTGAGTCACGCAACAAACACCACTATTCACTCACGCGTTATATAAAATAAAAGCATTGCTCATTGAATACAGATTTCAGAAAGGCGCCACACGTACTATTTGAAATAGAAAAAAGTGATAGCTGCTTTTGTAAGTGACTGACACACAGTACAATGTAATTATTGGATTTAAATTCAAGTTGCACTCGTTACTGATCAGTGACGTGCTAAATAGTACAAAGCTACAGTCCTTATTTATCATGGTTCCTTGATATCTTTTAACTACATTGCATTTGTATATTATAAAGCAACTATCTAGAAGTATTTTATAGCAAAAATGAACAAAGAATAACCTTATTTGTACATGCAGCTAAAAACCACAAATGAAAAGGTTCGTTTGTTTAAATTTAAGAAAAAAATCAATATCTCAAAAACGGTGACACTTTTATATAGGTAAGTTTTTGTTATTTGGGAGGTCAATCCAAAGCCTACCTTCTCCTTAAGTTTTTCGTGATACTTATTGGACACCCTGTAATCAAAGTTATACTTTGAAATCGATTAGGAATATTTCTGAAATATAATAAGACATTCTGGAAACAAAATCAACCCATTTCACTGAATTTATTCAGCATCGTCCGCATTGTCAATACTATACACATGTGTTCTTAATACTTCCTCTTACTGTACTTTCTAATTTGATATATGATTCTATTAGGCAAGTAAAACTTGGTAAAATAACGCGCTGACAGCTGCATATTACGATACGACAAAAGTTAACTTACCTGAGCGATTTCAAGTGACATGTCTCAATTAGACAACCTTGTTTGCAGATACAGCACTCGACGGAATATGTTTTTTCATCTTTGAACAAAAGAAACCCTAGTCCAACGATTTTCTTATTTTTTTGCGCTCCTAGCCATATTGTGTTAATAGTTATGTAACTTAAACAGTGACATTGTCTTTTTTTATGTAAGTTTTCCTACAAGACTTCAACTTGAAACTAGCAGTCGTTCACTTCTTGCTCACGTGTAGCAAGCGCGGAATAAACTATATGCACTCTAGCCTACTTAGTCAACAAGTTGTCCTTTTATCGGTTTTTTTTTACGTCATTACCCTACGGTTTACTAATGCTTTGACGTTTGCGGGTAAACCTAACCTCATTTATGTTATTCTATTCATTGTCTACGCCATTGTTTATATTGTATACGTATTATGAATACAAGCTTTATATTTTTTACGCATTGTCTACATCCAAATGTAACGCATTACCTACATCCAAATGTAGACAATTAAAATATACGCGTAAACGCCCATCACTGGATTCTTGGCAATAATTTACCGATATCCTCAAAGTGGACATAACCCAGAGCTCTTGACTGATGGTACTGCACGACGCACATTTTAATGATTCCATATTTCATACATAATGAGACATACATGAGCCCTCCAAATAAAAAATAAATTCGTCATTTCCTCATGCACCGCCTGTTTTATTTCACTTTTATACCTGAAGTAAAATTGAGTGAAAAAGAATCTCTTCAGATAAAAGTTACAGATCGTCGTCAGATTACGTCGTGTCGTGTGACGCGCCAAGGAAATAGTTTGTTGCTTGATAAGAATCGGTTATATTATCAACTTTTTGTATTGCGGTGATATATTTTATTCGAATAATTATTAAAACTTATTGAAAATGTTTGTGTAAGGATGAAATGAAAATACAGTAAGGTCATCCGTGTGATTTTCGATAATGAGCAAAATGCAAATGTGTAGCAAATGCAGTCTTGGCATTCCTAGATTGTACTTTTATAATTTCTGAGTCAAAATAATCAAAAATGAAAAACAAAATTAGAAAGTCTACGGGTGATCTGACAAATACATGTAGAATCGTTTTTGAGCCCGATACATAATTATGATTGGACTTACCCTTTGATTTTGATCAACTTACTGTATTTTACCTTGAAACATCTTTTTACTAAATATTTATGATGTTAAATTAGAATTTCATCAACTAATTAAAAAAATGTGTGTTGATGAAACCCAAAAGAATATAAAATTAAATGACTGCTACTTTGTTAGATTAGACTATCAACAAAAATGTCTATTAGAAGTTATTGTGTAAATAATACATTAAAAAACAAATATATATGAAAATTGTGTTAATATGGAGATTCTAACGTATATATTTAAATGTATATGTACCGTCTCATTGTAATAATTGTTCTGCTTGTTGCTAAATTGGGAATGAGGTTGCTATTTTGAACACGCCCGGAAGTTTAAGAGTATAATGGCAGATACACTGCAGTATGGTCCAAACCAAAACTTTTCCATCAGCCGACATTAATACAAGCCTACCACGTTTTGAGATTCCTATTGATTTTACTGGTACTTACTTCAATTGGAAAACACCTTAGAAAAATCTTATGCCATGGCCATTAAAACTACTATATATAATTGTCAATCAAAATATTTTTTATTCATTTCATCGGGAAAAGTATTGTCATAGATTCATCAAAACACGAGTATGTCCGAAGTTGACATTGAAATTTCTTTTCTGCACTGTTTTGCAAATGTGCTGGTTATTGGTTGTTCTTACATTTTTCCTATTATTACTATTATCGAAGGTATGAATTAATAACAATTTACTCACTTTATAATCGTTTAGGATATGTCACACAAAGTACCAGGCACAAAGTATATGGAACTTGACCACAGGTCCATTTTAAAGAAAATTCATGTAGTGATGATCAAATGTTCCAGTAGGCGCAAGGACTAGACATGGTTTCTATTGGACCTACAGGGTGTTCAGACTTGATGCCTTAACACCTATGGGTATGCCTGCCTGCCCAACTTTAGGCAAACTAACTTGTCTTCATTATACTCAGGGAACTTAGCGATATAATAATAATCACGTAGACACCTACAATATATCCAGGATGGAAAATGGAAAGTTGCTTAATAATGTTTAAGATATTCAAACATGACTTGCGCAAAAAGATTGACATCTTATATCTCTTCTATTTGAAATATACAGGGTGGCACTAAAAACTAGTTCTTTAAATGGATCACCCTGTATTATATTAGATATCTGGAAAGACCTGTTGAAAATAAACAGTTTATATGATACACTGTAGGACTTTGATCCTAATTTGCTTAGTTATTTTATCATTTGTCTAAGGAAATGCCTATCCTTGAAGGCTTTGACTTCTGTGATTTGGTGTTTTTCACTGAATTTTGGAAAGAAGATGAAAAAGTTCGCCGTCATTATCAAGGTGCTGTAAAATGCAAAATGTTGTTTTCTCAAAAATTTTAAATCGAACATCCGATATATTTTTACAACATTCGCATTTTATAAGTTTTTTCTGATATATAGTTTAATAATGCTTTATTAGAACGGTTGCCCACCTATACGTAGTAAAATATAAGTTTTTTATTAAGAAAATATTTGTTGGGTCACGGAATTGTGCAACACCCTGTATATCTCCAAATAATTTAGAAATACACTTTTATAAGATGTCAATGTTGCTGCGTAAATCGTTTTCGAATATCTTTTATAGTTTTTCCATTGAATTAGATTTCATTTTCTTTGGCACGCCCTGTATATATTGAATGTGTGAACGTGGTTTTCATTATATCTCTAAGTCTACAATGAAGACGAACTAGTTTTCGGTGCAGGCTAGCTTACCTACAGGGGCTAAGACCCCAAACTTGAATGCACTCTCTCTCCAACAGAAAGCATTTCTGGGCCTTGCGCCCATTGAAATATTTGATCAGCAATTCCATCACTATACGAATTTTCATTAAAATTGACCGGTAGCCAAATCCCATATGTTTTGTGTCTGGTGCTACACTCTCCACCAATAACGAAATGATAGTATTCAAGGTTAAAAAAAATGAAGCAAAGGCAAATGAATATATCTTTTGCATCCAACACGTCATAATTTCAGGAAACTCAAGTATCACGATATACATCTTTATATCTGAAGCAAGTTTTATCTTTTCTCAATGTACATAACATGTAGCTAATCATGTAGAGCTCTTTCAAATTCTGATAATTCTCGTAGAATCTGGCTTTTTACCAACATTTGCCTTTGTCTCAGATAGTTTTCTTGATACAGTGACATTTCAGATGATCTTTTTACTGCCATAAAATGAAGGCTAAACAAGTTAGTGAATATCATTTTTAATTGTAAGTTGAACATGTGATTTTTTCGAGATGTACCTTTTAGAATGACGATGGCAACTGGCTTCACATTCCATAAACAAGATTGTTTTTTATTTGCATCCGAAAAGGTATTCTTATGATTTGTTTTGTGTAATATATATAGGACAATAATTGTTCATTTTGCTCCTTTTACATTTTAAGTATTCTCATCTATTATTCCTAAATGTGTATGTATTTTTGCTATTTTTTATTCTATGTAGAACGCATTTACCATTTTTTATAGTTAGTAATATTTATATATGTGCGTTACTTCTGTGTATCAATTCAGTGATGTCTGTGGATCTCTGATCTCTGATTAAATTGGTCAATTTTTTCGCTGATTGTTGGCAGAAGTGATGCCTAGATCGGTCTTGACAAAATTTCTGATTAATCTTTTAGTTTTTTTTAATGTTCTCCAGCATAACTAGAACTCAATGATGACTCTAAGGAGATGCTATTGGATAGATGTAAACGCTGTCCAGGAACACGTAACCAATTTTTCGGGCAGTTCCTCTAGTATGAAAACTTACAACTTATTACAAACTGTTTATCCTGTATGCGAAATTAACGGGCTTACGCTTATCTCTTGAGGCTTCTACTTGACAAGTGATTTGTAGAATAATCTGTACGATGTTCAAAACTTATTCAAGTAAAGCTTATTTCCTGTGGCGCCCAAAGGGTTGAACTTTTTCATAAAAACTTTTAACAAACTGAGAAATAGTTAACATTTTTAGGAACACCATGTATTTATTTCTTGGACTATATTAGATGTAAACGATAATTTGGCAGTACTAAACCGGTTAATGCAAACGATTGCCAATGAAAAAATTACGTTCACATTTCCGTTGTACTATTGGTTTGGTTTGAATAAGGTGAGATTATTGCTTAAACTTTTTTGCTCTGAGACACAACTTTAGCGTGAAAAAATTCTGGTAAGCTCGATTACATACTATAATTTGTCAAAAAAACTGCTTGCGCGTAAATACTTATTAAGTTTCAATGGAAAAGATAAATACAAAATCAAAGCATATCTGACTGTTAGAGCTTTTCACATCTCCCATCATGCAACATTGATCTACATCTTTCGTCTAGTTATTTATTTTGGAATCTCAACTTTTTTAACAGAAAATTTGGAAGACCGAGGTTTTTATTGCATAAGGTCATGAATTAATGTAAAAACTTTTGTATGTTGAATGTACTTAAAGATATTTTAGTTTTAAGTTAATGATATTAATTATAAAATTGTTTTATAAATAAAGATATTAAATGAATGCTTTGATTTTTATTCACTGACGTTGGAACAAAAGTCTCAAACCCTTTTTCCTTTTGCTGATTTTCAGGTGGCGCAGACATCAGGCACCTAGGAGAATCGTAAGTAGACCAGTTTCTTTGCATCACACACTATTAATAAATCCATAAATGTTAAATCTTTATATTTTTAATAGTGCAACTAGTTTAGCGTGAAAGTTAGAAAAGAATGCAATAACTAGCAAATTCTGACATGTTTACACTGTGCGATCGAATAGTGCAATTTGTTGTACAAACTTCACAACAAAACACTAGAGATGAAAAAATTGAGGTAGTCGAATCATTCAAATAGCTGAGTATACATGGTGACTTACAAGTCGTGACCAAGAATGAAACGTCATACGCATTCTAAGGGGGGGTCTTCTATGTAACATTTTTGCCTCGAAAACTTGAAGTTTAAAAATAAAATAAATTTTTTTAACATCTTCAAAACCGTCAACTGGAATGAAGTAAAATTTGGTATGCTGAACAAATTAATACTGTTGATCAGTTACATGAAAGAATAAATAATGCGTTTCATCAAATTCAAGCCACAACAAATTTTGCGGAAATACGTTATTCTTTATTAAAAAGATGCCGCACTTGTACCCGTCAGAATGGTGGCCTTTTTGAATATTTATTGGAATAAAGCTTTATCTAATTTGTTTTTTTTATTTTTTCGAAAACAATGCACTTTAGCAAAAAAACAGAGGCGTACTATTTTTATTTGGAAAAATATCCACCACTGGCACACGTTAATTTCAAGTGAAGACTTTTGACTGTGGACAATACTTAGGTAAATCGGCATACCAAATTTTAGTTCATTCAAGTTGACGGTTTTGGAAGTATTAAAAAAATGTTGTTGTTAGAATAGAAGAGTCCCTTAAGATGCTGTCCTGTGAATCATGGTTGATTTTTGGTCACAACTTGTGAGTCAACTTGTATGGGTGGATAAAAGACTGCTGTTTCAATACCATTGTGATTACATTATTTCAAAAATATCAATAAACACAAATTACCTTTATTTTTTATATTGTTCAACTATTTTTTAAGTGAAAACATATTTTCAGAATTACAGATTCTACAAAATAAAGCTATGGAAATCATTTTAAATAAAGACAAATATGCTAAAATCAAGTCTGTTAGAAGAACTCTCGAACTCCTCTAACAGATGGTACAATAACATCCTTCTTTCTCTTCAGCAGTGACACCGAAAGCGCCGACGTACGTCCCAAGGAGACCAAGCGTAATATCGCCCCAATCAAGCTGACCCAATTCTTCAAAAAGGGCAAGGACAAGGTATCCTCAGAGGCTGAACTAGAAACCAAGAAGATGGATAATGACGAAACTAAATACGATGAGAAAGAAGAGCAGATAAACACGGAGGAAGCAGATGAAGAAAAGCCAAAAGAAGAAGATAAGGGTTTGGTATACGCCGAACTTGACCTAGTCAGGGCAGAGGTTAAGCCTGTGGTCAAGAATGACAGCGATAAGACTGAGTATGCGGAGATTGTTTATACGCAAAACGAAGGGGAAGAGGGAGAATCGAAAGAACCCCATAAATAGTAGTGTTCATGAGAAACGGTTTTGTTTACATAAAATGTGGCCATTTGTGCTTCAAAGGTATCTTATAATATCGTCTCAAAGTGCTAGTGCCATTTTCTGTTTACGGTACTCAAATGTGTATATAAATTTTCAATTATTTTGCATATGCATTTTGGTTTAAAATACAGTTCTTATGGAAAACATTCGTCACTATATATATTATTTAGCATAACGTTGATGTAAATGTTAAGAATAAATCTATATCCCTGTATTGTATATCCAAAAATATAATATAAATGAATAAGATGCTGCAAACTGTGAACAGAAGCATGGTCTCAGACCCGCTTAGTGTAACTGTGCCTTTATAGATTGCAGAATTTATACTGCAAACAAAAAATCGGAGCTTATAAAGTTCATGGGTTTGTTTTGATACTATCATACCAAATAGCTGTTTCACTAATGTAAATCTGGAAAGTGTCGATAGGTAGGGTGCGATCTATAGCACACTAACGAAAGCTGCCTTCCAGTGACCCAGTTCAGTTACTTGAAATAGCTCAACAGTGCTCAACGCCTGTCGATGCAGATTCACAGCACCAGAGTACCACCCACACTTTAAGTACTTTTTTAAACTTCATGTACCAGGCCATAAACAATTAATTGTGTTCCCGCGCTCATTTATTAGAAAAGAAAAACACTGGAAGGCAGATAAGGGGAGAGCAACTAGGAAATACAAAAATATATTGGTCATTTTCAATGATCGTAACTGGTAATGGCATCAGAATGGATATTTTCACTTGTATTTTTCACCAAAATAAACATTATTAGTTTATTAAACTTTAACATGATTCTCCTTCTTCAGCTCAGTCAATCTGGTATTTGAGTAGTCAAAAAATCTTTTTTACTTTTGCCTTTTGTCAATCGTTAGTGGTGTCGCGTACCTCCTCGCGAACTGGAAACCATTTTTGAATCAATTTGATGGCTGAACCGTAAGTTGCACCGAAAAATGTGTATGTCGAAAAATGGAGATAGTTAAATTCTTTACAATTTATGTTCTGGGAGAGAAGCTGTACAACTTGTACAACCAACGAGCTCAAAAAAATCTACTAAAAAGATTCGGAAACTGTTTTACGATATGCTGCTTCCTAGATACTTAAGTACATGAACGCTGGCTTACTGCATAAAATATTCGATTACATTCTATATATATATTACTGGAACGTTTTAATTGAAAAAAAACGGTTCAATTTCCTTCGCAGTAGGTCATAGGGGAAAAGAAATTCAAACGCTAGCAAAAGGTAAAATGAGTTTTTTATTATAATTCGCCTTATCTTTCAGAGTATAACATCGTCCACCACATCCTTGTTACATAGTAAACAACGATATGAAAAAAACAGTATATCGTAAACAAGCATATGCAACAATTTGGTAGATATTCACGCTCTTCACTCTAAAAATTTTTTTATTGAGATACTTCACCACGAAAAATGCTACAACTGCATTTGGGTAACTTTGTATCCGTTGGTTGAACAGCTTCGCTTTCGGGAGATAAATTATAGAGAAGCTGATTGTCTTCATTTTTTGTTATATAATTTTTTTTACGACCTACCGTTTAGTCATTAAATCGATTCAAGCAATCTTTGAATTTCGCAAAAAATGGCAGAGGGTAAACGAATTTGTGGTTTTGAGCTTTTCCCTTGAACCACTAACGACTAACAAAAAAAGAAAGCAGAATGGATTTTTGAACGAACGCAGACATTTTTGATTCCAGATCGACTGGACTATAGTAGTGGATTGTCCTACCTACCGAATACTTCAATTACCGACAAGAAAGTGTGTTCTTACTTAGGGCAACTACTCGTTTGAAATATTATTTTTGAGATTAAGACTTATAATAAAAAAAAAATTTGTTGTAAGCCTATTCGTTTGACTGTCACAATATCTACGATTTTTCTTGACGTTTTCGGCCAGTTAGACTTTGTGACAGGAAGCAAGATAGTTTAGGAAGGTGTATTATGATTATGTACGTATGGGAACTTACCATCACATATACTATCTTATATTAACATAAGTATGTTTGTGTAAAGATTCACCTTCAGGTATACATAACTCAAATCCGTCCTTTTGTCTGTTGTGCATATTAGGTGTTAGAAAGAAGTCATATACTCGTATATGTGTATAGTTCTTTTCACGGCTTTTGATGGTTACGTCACAGTGCAATACGAAATAAGTAAGTAGATTGACTAATGCATATGCGCAGCTTAACTTCTGTAAGGGAAATTGCACACTGCGCAAGCTGATCCGTAACGCAGCTGCTACTCGCTCTTGGACGCACACTCATGAATTGAATTATGGAGGACATTCGTTTTCACTCACTTTCGGAAAATAGTTGTAATAGTTGTAATTGTGTTATCAGGCACTATCTAAGTTTCACATCGAAGATCAACATGGGTAAACACAAATCACACGCCCATGATAAGCAAGTTGTCATACTGACAGTGATACGCATAAATGTGGAGGATGGATATTTTAACGGAAAAATGTCCATGGCGGTGAGAGAAGACTAAAAACATTTCGTCGCTTCAGAGCAGAAGTAGCTTAACTGCAAAAATCGAATTTTACGGGAGTTTTTTTCACTCCACATTCAGGTTTTTGACACAATCGTTGTACAAATTATATTATTGGCACTCAGGGTCATGCTTTTTTTTAAAGTTTAGTCAAACAGAATGAATTTTGCATATTTTGGAAAAATCTCGATATAGCATAGTTTATATTATTGGACGTGTGAGTTAGGATAGTTCTACGAGAAGATACGATATGCAGGGATAATCGATAAGCTACATAGGATAGTTCTGTAGTGCTATTTTTTTTAAGTAAAACCAAAACACATTTTTGTCAAATTATTTATTTTAATTTTACTGGGGGGTAATGAAAAGGAAATATTTCACAAAAAATACATTAAATAAATAACGACACAAACAAGTGATTGAACTTATACATAATACATGTATAGATAATAAAATCATAAAAATAAAAACATTCTTTTAAGGTGTGTTATTTAAAACTAAAATTAGGTAGTTTGAAAACAAAAGAAAGGCAAACTTTGTCAAAAAGCAGGCAAACAACCGAACAATTAATTCAAATCAGAATCCGAATCTATATTTTCTTGTGCAGCATAAGGAAGGTTCTTAAAGAATTCGTGATATTGTGGCAATATGGCTTTTTTCTGACATAAAAACTGCAAATGATCAAATTTTTTCTTTGATAGCGGAAGGTTTCTTAAATAGCACTTCTTTAACTCGGTATTTTTTATATCTACATTATCTTTTTTGCGTCGGCCTTTTTCAACAAGATTAATAATTTTGAAAGGTTCCGATTCATCGTAGCTGTATTTAAAAAATATTTTATTCGGAAACTGGACGTTAGAAACAACAATTCGAAATTTATTAAGATGAATCTTTTCATTTGTTTCGTCTTTCTCCCAGTTAATAGTAGTCGATTGTTGCAAAAGCTTCAAATCGAATACGTCATTCTGAGAAATTTCTACAACTTCGTAAGGTTGACGTCTCTTCGCAGTTCGCACTAACGTGTACCATTGTTCAGGGGTATAAATAGGGATATGTCTAGCAGCTTTTTCAATAACACTGTGCATTGAGTCGCCTTCTGTTTGTGTATGTCCTCGTTCCATAAACTGATGGCGAATAGTAATTTGGTATTTCTGTGTAAGGTAGTTATATAAACTGAACAAATATTTATTTCTATTTTGCCCTGAGCAATTGTCAGAGAAAAATGAAAATTCTTTCACTCCTTTTTGAACATGCTCTTTAACAAAAAGAATGAGGCAACTTCCAATTTCGCATGAACCTCTTTTCGCTATGCATTCATACCACATGAAACACACTCCGTTATTATTAGCTAAGTTGTAAATTGAAAAGTTATAGGTTTGAAGTTTCAACTTGTAATATGCCAATCCAACCTCAGATTTAGGTACAGGAAGAGCTTTCTGGAGGTCAAATACTGCTGCTACGAAACTCGAACTTTCTGTAGCTTTTTTCTTATCCCTATCTTTAGATTCTCTTGCTTTTAACCTATTTTCTCTATGTAACCGGTATTCTTCTTCAATTTTCAGTTTTTCTTCTTCCGATGAGTTCTCATATGCATGGCAAATGTCGCAAAGATCTTTTTTAGGCTTAAAAAAGGATATATTGAATTCCTCTACAAAAATAGTGCGATACATACTTTCTGTGGCGGTATCTTTGATGTTGTTATCATTACAATATTCCTCATATAAAACATACATCTTGGATATGTTAAGAGTTGGTGGTAGATAAAGACGGGAGGTGTTTATTCTACAGTTAATGGCTTTCGATAAAATCGAATGAACTGATATGATTCCTTACTGTTTGCTTCACAGTATCATCAATTTGGGAGTTTTTGCAAACTTTTCCCCTTTTGTCGGCACTAATAACGCCTGTAGATCCCAATTTTTTTATCACGGTCTTCACCACTTGAGCACTTATACAAAGTGTGTTTAGAAAGAAAATTTGACAAACGGAAATTCTTTCTTCTCGTACCGTCAAGTAATAGAAATTGGTAAAAGTACGTCTGCTTCTCTCTTGCATGATTGGTGGTTCGTCAGAATCATCCGAATTTAAAGATTGTTTTTGTAACCTAGTTCTACCTTTAACCTTTACTACAACATGACGTGCTATAAAGTCCCTTTGCCGGTTAATATCAGCTAAACTCCAGTAGTCTTTGAAGATTTCTTCTCGTTCGGTATGACCGATTCTCTCTACACATTTCTTTTTGCAATTTTTACATGGATCTTTCAACTTTCTTGCACTGTGAGTATTTCCTTTCCAGTCTAGGTATTCTTTGCCTGAATTTCTTGCCAATTTTATTTCATTCCTTTTCCATGTAGTCACATTTCTTGTTCTTTTCCTCGTTTTTTCTTTCTGTGTAAATCGTTTAATGCATTTCCGTTTCTGTTTTCTAATTGGTAGATTTTGTACACTATCGTCTTCGATTTCAGAATCTTCTTCGTAATCTGAGTCTTCATCCGTCTCAAATGGATCATTTTCAGATGACGAAAGGTAAATATCCTCTTCTACATTATTTTTATCATAAGTGTTCATTTGGTTGCTAGAGGTACCATAAAAAGAACAAGATGGTTGATTGTCTACTTCATCCAGTCCAGATACCGAAGCCAACATGTTTTTATTGGGTGTATCATTGGTGAAAATTTGTTTCCACATATCGTCGGATGGCACGTCATGAATGGTGGGATTGAAAACATTGGTTTCTTTCGGAACTAAGAAATCAGGAGGATTTAGATGAGCAGATTTCATCAAATGGCATCTATAGTCTCGACAATGAAGTTTGCTGTTTTGCTGGTTTTTATCTGAAAAACAAAGTGAAGAGAATTGTCATTTTCGTATTATGAATTTAGTGTAAAGTCTAAATATATTATATCATTGGCATGTGAACGAAGACTTTTAGATAAAGCACCTTAAAGTAACACATCAATGTCACTTTGTAACTTTAACTTTAAAATCACATTATGAAAACGACCTCAATCAATTTCATAATATGACCTTAAAATTTAAAATTAACGTCCTAAGCAAACTGTCAATCAAAACACTTAAGAATATGTTATTTTGAAAGTCATATATAATTCATTTTGAAGTTAACGGCCGTTAAGGTTCTAAAGTGACATTCGCATTTAGAGCTTCTTTTCGAGACTACTTTGCGTATGGAAAAGTCTTCCTTATAAAACCAAAATAGAAAAAAAATGTTTCAAATTTTTTGTTCTAATTAGGTTTTTCACACATTTTGAGACATTTTAACTCGATTTAGAGAATACAACTTTTTTGATTTTTTTTCGATACAACATCTACTTCCGTGATGTAAAAGTAATAATTAAAAGCCTTTGACTTACCTTCACTCATATCTGCTGATTCAAAATTAGGGCATCCATAATATTCATAATGCTTGTTTTTGTCCATTACTGATCCAGCATCTTGCTTCACTGCTACTCCAATATCGTCTAAGAAAAATTAAAAATGTCTAATCGTCTACCTATGGATTTTTCACAAAATATAGCTCACCTGAATATCTGCACTTATTTTCTTGTCTTGCGAGTCTCATGATTCTTGAACTTCTTGTAGTGGAAAACATCTTTCTAGTTAACACAATGACAACCGTCCGTTCTGTATGAAAGCATCCACTGTACTGATCAAAAAAGCCAATGTGTAAAACGAAATATCCTAACTATGCATTTTGCAAGTCAGGACAAGTCTATTTCCCAAACGCGGTAATTTTGTACCATATGCGTAAACAGAACTAACCTAACTCCACGCTATGCTGGATATCGACTACTTTTGTTAAGGTCAGAACTATCTTATCTCCAAAAGTTGTGGTAATTAGGTAGATTCTGTATTACTCATTGTTGCAGAACCAACCTATCTCCAATTAAAGTTCCAATTAGGCTTATGGTTTAAGATAGGATGGTTCTGCATTGAAATTAAAATTGAATTTTCAGATAGGATATTTTTTGACTCAACTGTTACTGTCCAAGTAATATAGATGGACATAGGTTACTTCTGTGTTGAATCCGTGGTGTTTCAAACTATCCTAAGTCATTAAAATCGAAAAATAACAAGTTTTGGAGTTAGGCTACTTCTGCTCTGAAGCGACGATTTATCTTTTAGTACACACAAACAAATGTCGGTGCATAGAGGCCGATTACATAATGTATGTGTGAAGAAGATGGATATACGAAAGTAATTCCTGTAGTTTGACTATGACCCGACAAAAACCTTGAAAAAGCCTATAACTATTGAAAATTAATTATATACATTAAAAATGCTTTCACAAGTGGAACCACAATAAAGTTACATTCGCTAGTATAATCAAAAACCGAAATTTGGTAATGTCAGGCTATTATATTTATTTCAAGGCTATAAAATATTATACTGGTATAAAGATAGAAGATCTGTCGAAAAGTAAATCACGCGTGGCATAAATGAATAATGATATCGGCTACAGAAATAAATAATTTAGCTATTCCACATATTACCACATTTTTATACACACGGTACTTTCCAAAAAGACCCCTCTAGTTTATTTTTTTTAATTGTTGCAAGATATCAAGCTGAAGCATCAAATGGTTGCATGGATACTATATTCTAACAAAAAAATAACGTTTCAAAATTGGCACCTATGTGGCGGAATGGCAGGCTGTGAAAGTTGAGCGTATTCGTACATTGAATCGTCTATAACTCAAAAACTAATTATCAAAACAGTATAGTAGGTTATATCAGTCTTTTTTCTTTACAAGCATCTATATGAATGTGCAATAAAATTAGAAGATATACAGTTTAAAATAATAACAGATTTTGTAATTTTTTTCATACTTTATGATAAGAAATAATAAGATATGAAAATGTATATTACATACTATAGTGTTTTGACGATTGACGTTATAAGCGAGTCAATATACAGAAACGCTCATGTTTGTCAGCCTTCCAGTTTGTCATATAGGAAGATATTGATTGTATATTATACAGTACCGAAGTGCGCATAAGGAGCTTCAAAATGTGTTATCACATGATCTCCATTCCATTCAGAAAATGTTGCAAGATGACGATCAGCAGATATTCTGTAATTTTCAACTGCCATTTTCTCGCTGATATGTAGTATTCATGCATCAATTTCTCATGCTGGATTATAGCTTGCTATCTTGACCTATTCCAAAAATAAGTACCGGGTGGGATATTTTTGAAAACCACTGTATAGTATCTTTACTAATACTATATCACCACTTATTCATCATAGGAAGTGATTGTCATTATTGGCTCAGTGTAGCCCGTCTGTGGAAAGTTGATCGTCAGAAGATCGTGGGGGACCAAGTTACACGTATTCAACCAGTGTTTCCATTTACACCCCCCGTTATGTCTATGTTATGTAGTATTAGAGATTTCAACAAAGGAAAACACTCTTAAAATCCAGTATTTTTGCAAAAGTGTGTCATTGTATTCGGTAAACTGTAATTTGATATAATGTCTAAGTCTGTTTGATGAACAAATTAATACGGTTTACTTTTGGAATGCTATTAAATTTAAATAGATATCAAGTAAAAATCATACTCCTCGTTATATCCTATAGAATTATCTAATTTCTATTAGAGAAATTCTTAAAATTGTTCGTGTTCTAGCTGTAAGCACAAACTGTACTTAATTTTCTACGTTGATATGATAAATAAAGGAACTTCACAATTCAATTGTCTCGTTTTTTGCAATACCTATAGTGACTAAACAGTCTCTAAATTGTGAACATATTTGGCTTGGAAAAAGAGATATCATAAATTTTATCTCACTGCTTTCCTACTATTCCGAAATTGGCTTGAAAAAACAGATCTTATAAATTTACTCTCACTGTTTCCCGAATATTCTGAAATGTTCACAGACTAGAATGAAGAATAATGAATCAACGATGAATAGAGTAATTGTCCACACAAAATTTAGCAAGTGACTTAAATAATTTAGAATTAGTTCTACAATAGAACTCCATGACCTGGCTTGAATTGGCAATCACCTCACGTATACAAGATGTTTCCTAACTGGATATCAATATTAAAAAAAGCAATATTTAGGCCCATTTTCAGAAGGAAACTTCATATGAATGTATCTGCTATGAGGATCCCGAAGAAATTTTGTTACTCCGATTGTCTACGGTCAGTAGAACTAAGCTAGATTGTTCCACAATTTCGACAACCTCGGGACAAAGGAGCGGTCGTATCGACCAGTTCTGGTTGTACGAAATTCAGCACGGTTAGGATGGGAGGCCGAAGTCAGGCGGGTCTGTCTTGCAGGCACATCGCGAGGAGAGCTCTGAGAAGCAAAGCCCATTGGAGTAGCGGCAGCAGAGAGCTAGACGGCCAGTGGGCCGCCGGTGAGAGAGGCTCCCGAGACTGTCTTTTAGACAAGATTTGTCGATCAGTCGGACACCCCTACTCGGGACAGCATCGAGCATACTGTAGTCAGGGTAGCAGCACCCCAAACGTGTGAGGAATACTCGAGGCTAGATCTTATCTGAGCCTTGTATGGACTGAGGAGGTCATGCGGAGAAAAGTACTTCTCAACCTTAAACAAATAGCCTAGCTTTTTCCTAGCATCTGCCGCTATTGACGGGATGTGTTCGTGCCAGATCAAGTTCTCGGTGATCTGGCCTCCGTCCAGCCGAAATGAACGACTCTTTGGCCATCTATCGAAACCGGATGGGCGCTAAGACAGTTTTTGTTCGGCTGTGTTTTGGAAGCATTAAACTGTACAAGATTGTTGCGTCCCCAAACAGTGATAACCCAGAGGTTTCTCGTCAGAGACGAAGTCGCCGCTGGTCTTTTCGAACTCAAAAGCAGAGATCGGCTTGTCATCAGCAAAGCTGTAGATTGGGTTGATTGTACAAGAAAGGTGGACATTAATATGTAAAAGGAACAGCGTCGGAGCCAAGACCGATCCATTTGGAACACTTGCGTTGACGTTGTGGGATGAAGAGGAGAACCCTTCAATTACGACGGATATCTTGCTGTCAGAAAGAAAGCCAGCCGCTCATCTGCAAAGCTTTTCTGGGAGGTAGTAGGATGGTAGTTTTCTTAAAGGGGAGCGTGCCACGGCTGATGGAACGCTTTCGTGATATAAAGAGCAACGACATGAGAGTCACCATAAAATTGGACACGATGACTTCACAATTACGTCCACATGTCATCAATACGAGGGATGTCATTTAAGTTTTGCATATAGAAACATAGTAGGCCGCGCGGATCGAACGTCAGTACTGAATTTTACCCCCACTCTTTAGTAAACTTAAATTCAAAGTTTAAAAACAATACGTGCAGTGTTCTCACTACAGTGAATTTTTAAGTATCACCAAGTCATTAGAAAAATGGAACTCAACGGAGAACATTTTCGCGCGTTATAGGTCAAGAACCCGAGGCGTCAGCAAGACGACACCGCCAGTCGCAACGACAGCAGAAACCTTTATTAAAACTATTTTGCTTTTATATTTTTAATTCATTATCATTCCAACTTGTAACACGTTCATGTCTACAAAATAAATATTTTTTAAAAACTCCTTGTTGTGGCTGAGAAACATAATTGGCGCTGCGAACAGGATATCTGCACGGCATCCACCCAAGAAGGATCATCGGTTCGTCTTAACGATTTGGCAGATTTCTACCTGGGGTCACGAAGAAACACCGAGAAATTGGAGGACCATACTGGCGATGAAAATCAGTGCGATTCTTCTCATCCTGTAAGTCCATTTCCTTTTCATATGAGTTCTGAGTACCCTCAAGATTCATTTCAAGCTATAGTTAATTTTTCACACAAGTCGCAAAACAAATCTAGATTTCAACCCTACAGTAAACATTCAAAGAGGTCAGAAGACGATATTGTTGATAACCCATCTAATACTTTCGAACAATCTACAAAAATGGTTATATCTAACTCTGATGTTAATAACTTGTGTAATACTCTTCCTGAATTTAAAGTTGGAGATAATCTTTCTACATTTATAAGCTCTGTAGATAATTTAATCACATTTTTCAACCAACAAGGAGCTGATGCAGTACAATTGTATATTATTAATGCACATATTTTATCCAAAGTAAAAGGTGAAGCTCGAGATTTTCTGAACATTCATAATAAAAATTCGTGGCCAGATATTAAACCACTTTTATTACAAAAATACGGTGACCACCGTAATGAAGAAATTTTGTTAACTCAATTAACTACAACTGTTCAGAAACGCTCAGAGACTTACCAAGATTATCATCATCGTATAACCTTGGCACTGAATGACCTTTTACAACATGTTTTATTAAGTGAAAGTAATGCCCAGGCAGTAGAGTTCAAGGCTTCATTTTTCCGGAAACAAGCTCTAAGAACTTTCTGCACAGGCATCAACAACCCTTATTGTAACCATCTTTCTCATTTCGAATTGAATACTTTAGATGATGCTCTCCAAAAGTGTATCTCTCTTGACAATCACAGACAGCAACAACAATACATGTCTTACTTGAAATCCACGAATCACCCCCGCGATTACCAAAAACCTCAACCTCGTCCCAATCCAAACAACTTCAATACTTCGAACAAACCCAATAATCCCAATAACCA